TCATGAAAAATTTTAGATTTATTGTCCCCCCCTACTGTTAAATGAAATTTACGCCCATGCTCCACAGAACACGTTTCCACTGCTCCAGAGTCCAGTGGCAGTGTGCTTTACACCACTCCATCCCACGCTTCGCACTGCACTCGGTGATGTGAGACTCGCATGCAGCTGCTCAGCCATGGAAGTCCATTACATGAAGCTCTCACTGTACAGTTTATGTGCTGGGGTTAATGCCAGAGGAAGGAACTCTGCGGTTGCTGAGTCCACAGAGCATTGATGACTTTTACACACTATGCACCTCAGCACTTAGTGACCCTGCTCTGTTAGTTTACCTGGTCTGCTGTTCCTAAACACTTCCACTTCGCAATAATACCACCTACAGATGACCGTGGAACATCTAGCAGAGAACGAATTTCACAAACTGACTTATTGCAAAGGTGGCATCTTATGACAGCACCATGCTTGAATTCACTGAGCTCTTCAGAACAACCCATTCACAAATAGGACTCTCCATTCATTTCTATGGGCATAACCATAAATCAAACAACCTTAACACAGAGCTCCAGACGGCAACTAAAATGGAGATTTTTAATTTGATGACTAGTTTTTTTTCCATTCCAGTCATCAATGGTAACTCACAACTTAACCTGTGTCTGCCTTTCCTGCTAAACTATCACGTCATTAAAAATCATGAATAGATGGAGAGCAACATTGACAGACTGGGTGGGTTTTGTCAAACCGTTGCGTCGGAAACTCTTCATGCTGCCCGGCAACCTGATGCAGAGAGTATGGAGCCTCAGAAGGGGCATGGAGGGGGGAAAAAAACCATGGCTGGGAAAAAAATGTAAAAATGACTCTCACAAAGGGGGGGGGGGAATCCCACAAAATTTGCAAGATCTCTCATCAGTCTTCCGTTACCATTAATAACTGCACTGTGTCCCTTTCAAGTACAAAAGATATAATTTATGCACTAATAAGTATAAACCTAAACATCTCTGATGATGTACGTGGGGATATGCAGATCTATACTAAAATATTCCAGAGTGTGGATTCGAGTTCAAACCTTAACACCAACACCACAGTAAAGTTAGCTTCATATGGCAGAAAAATAAATGACAAAGAAATATGCGATACGTAAGCAAGACAGCTGGGATATTGATGGTGAAGTGCACACACAGACATCGAAATATTAATTTAAATTCACGTGTAAAGACATCTGGAAAACCAAGGGGTCTTGTATGGCTTTTGTTAGTTGATATTACACCCGGAAAACTGAATATAAAGTTAACTTTACCGCAGTGTCATAGTTAAGGTTTAAACCCAAACCCACTTTCGGGTGTCCCTCTCTGGTATTCTCATCTTACGTATCGCATATTTCTTTGTCATTTATTTTTCTGTTATTATGTAGAAGAATGCAGAAGACAACAGTAGGCCTGGTGCAGGGTAAATCGAAAAGAGGAGCGCACTGGAATTCTGCCCTTAGTGCACCGTGCAGTTTCTGACAGCAGTCAGACAGGAGAAATAAGCAGCACTGCGAGGTGGACCAGAGACAAAATGTGGCAATAAAAAAGTATTTTTGATTTGTTTTACATTTGGCATGAGAAGGAGATTATGGCCCCTAAAAAAGTGTTTGGCCCCGAAATATTTTGGGTTTAGGAGCCAATGACTCTTAAAGTTTTTTTTTCTTTCTGTCGGGAGCCCTGTCAACCCCACCAGCACTAACCTTAATCATAAGGACCCAAACAAAATATAAGACTTTTGGCATTTTTAGTTTTTTGATTGCAGTCACAGATTTTTATGAAATTAAGTTTCCAAAAAAATATCCCCACAAGGTCACAATTGCAAGATTTTATGATACTGTGGGGACATGTGATCCCCACAATATTTTCAATATATATTATTATTATATTATATTATTATATATAATTATACACACAGACACAGGCACACGGGAAGTCCGTTTCCTCACTGCCTTTGACTGTAATGGGTGTGTAACTCCAGACGAGCAGATCTGAAAGTGCAGCCTGTCAAACAGCAGGCCAGGGTGTCAGAAAAAGGCCCTTGAGCTGAAATGCCACAGAGACCAGCAGCAACCACGCTGTTCTCACGGCTGGTCTCCAGATGAGCCTTTGGGAGTAAAGGCAGGTGAACTGTGATCGCCCAGTTAGGGGACAGGATGGTCTTCCCTTGCTGGGCTTAGAGCCTAAGTAGTAGCAAGCTTCTACAGGTGGATACTGGAGGACGACCAACCTGATGGGCCTCCTACTGGCAAGGGAGGGAATAGCGGGTGATCACCTCGGCACAGACCCCATTTTGCATAGTGCTCCCTCGTGCCTTCAATAACCATGACCATTTAAGGGCACATATTAGTACCCCTGACTCTTGGGTCTCCTATTCTCGCTACAATAGGATCAACGCCCTTATACACTGTAAGACACTGCTTATACAACACTGCTTATACAACACTGCTTATACACCACTGCTTATACAGTACAGCACAGACACAGCAGTAACACACTCACACACAAGGGGGCAGCACAGCCACCTCTGCTGCTGCTTCTCTCCTGCGCTTCCCTCACAGGCCGGCCGCTTAAATAAATAAGCCTCACTGGGCCGAGGGCCGGCCTCCATCCATTATTCAGACGCCACCCGATCTGGGTGCTCGCCTGTGTGCTCACGGTGCCACGGCAGCCCGGGACCGGGCCATGCCATACCCACCGCTGTGTGCTGCGCGCGCGTCAGCGTTCATTACTGCACATGGGACACCGGTCACCTGACTGTCACTGAAGACCTGCTCGCACGGACAAGAGGGCAAACAAACAGACAAGCGCACCCAAAACACAAACACATACACCAACACATGCACCCCAAACACAAACACATGCGCACTCCCCCAACACACTCATGCACCCCAAACACGCAGAACAAGCCCGCACCCAGTGTGGGGACAGTGTGGGGACAGTGAGCTAATCCTCTGTACCTGTGATCAGAAGGTTGTTGCAAAATAATCATTATTACTACACGTCCAATAGCCATGGGGGCAGCTGTCTGTCAAACTGCACCGTCTTTCCGTGTTATGCCACTGTTCTCATAATAAGCTATGAACGACTTAGGAAAAGGCAGGTAGAATGAGTTTGAGGAAATTTGGAGACCATTTATTCCACTGGGGGGAGGGGGTTGCCCCCCGCCCCATTCATACTACATGTAACAGATCACCCGTCTGTTCATGATGTCATTGTCATTCTGAATGTGTCCGTATTGTGTTCTACAAAAATTCTGCAATCTTGTTTCACGCAGTGATCTTGTTAAAGGAGCCTATTATATTGTTACCCAATAAAAAAATTCGGAGCAAACACAGCCAGGTGGATCCGGTGACACGTCAAGCAGAACAGACTTAGTGGCACCATAAATGTTTAGCAACATTTGTTTTATGAAAGATGTGGGCTTTGATAGCACTGAGGCCCACAATAAAAAAGTTCTGGGACAGAAGCCCGGGAGCCCATATTCACGGAACATTGACGCCAGAGAGAGAGAGACCTGCTGTTAATCAAACCCGTGGCCCTACCCGTGCCAGCCTGAGCTATAAAGCCCATCTCTGACGGCTCACAAATCGATTGCGGCATTTCTTTCTCAGATTTATCTTTTTTCCAGCCATATCTCTTGCATAGTTTCTCATAAAAACTCCTCCCTCGACATACACACCGACATTTAGCCTTGGGCGAGACAAATTAACCACAAACGGAAATATAAGTGATGACAGGGGCCCGTATCGCAAAGCCAGATTTGTTGCTTAGCCGGATAACTTGTTGGATTTAAGGTATCCCGGTTTAGGTAGACTTTGTCTGTGTTCACTTACATTCAGCCTAGACTGGATAACCTGTGAATGGGCTGCAATTTCATTATCGCTTTATCGAATTATCACGGTAAAATGATTATCAGTGACAGGCGGTGTGCTGGCTCAGTGGTTAGCATGACAGGAACGCGGGTTCAGGTCCTGCTTTTCAGATCCCCATAGGGGGTGACCGACCAGCACCTCCTCCAGGGTGCTCCATGCTTCCTGATTCCTGAAGGAGGCTCCCTACTCTCTGCCACTCTCTTCTTGATAGGAGGTTATGGCAGTTGCACGGACAGATTATCAGTTATGCTGAGCCCGTCGTTAGCGCCCCCTGCGTGTCGGACAGTGCCATGGCGCTTACCTAACGAGCGCGAGGACGCGCTGTGTAGCGCCTTCTCCCCCATCTTGGCCAGCATGCTGAAGTAGGCCTCGCCCGTCATCGCCAAGGCTGCGAGAAACACAGGGGCCCTCAGAGATGGTACCGGGGGGGGGGGCTTGGGGTACCACGATCCAGCCTGGCCCTTCATTCAGTCCCATCAGACATATATGCTCAGAAAGGTAATCCATCACAGACAGAGGTGGAAAGGTGAGGTCCAGAAAGTACAAATCCAGACCAAGATTTTGTTCCAACCAATCAGTTGAGTATGAAGAATTTCATTCACAGGGTATGCAGCTGGTTGATTGGAACAAAATCTTGGTCTGGATTTGTACTTTCTGGACCTGACCTTTCCACCTCCGTCTGTGATGGATTACTTTTATGAGTAACTTCCCCAACACTGTATTATATACTAATTATTTATACTGCACCATGTATGTCCCTGTATAGCCGTACATTTTTCTATTTTTACATAAGTATATATTGAACAGCAGTTTCTATCACTTTTATGCAATTTTGAATTTTTAGATTAGATGCCAAACTGCACTTAGTTGTCTGAGTACCTGTGCTTGTATAATACATTTTTTTAACTAATCTAACCTAATGTAATATAATCCAATAAATCATACATAACAAACAGTCAAAATATATTGTAGTGGACATGCTGCACAAACAGACGCCAACACAAACAAATGCAAAACAGTCAGAAACACACAGACACACACACACACACACACGCCGAACCTTGAAAGGCCTGGGTGTAGCTGTTACCCAAAGCCACCAGCTTCTGCAGCCCTGGGTTAAAATGCTCCATCAGGTTCTGTGGGGACGGCAGACAAACACACAGGACAGTGGGGCACGTTTCATCAGAGCCGTGAGGCTGCTGTACCTCCCTAGGGCCGGTAATTAAGGCATATAAAAAGTACAAACAGAAAAGCAATAAAACGCAGAGTCCACATGGCAGAGTAACAGCGAACTATAAAACACAATGGCGGCGCCCCGGTGGCCTGACATCTCACAAAAAGAATAAGAAAACTCGCGTACAATTCTCGTATCAGAACGAACAACAACAAGCACAGCCGAGCTTCTTTTTACAGTAAAATCTCCTGACGCTGAGTTGCATTTTACACAGGACAACGTTCAATATTTAGCGCTGCGGCCTGAATCTCCAGCAAAGCTGTTTCCTATAATTGCTGTTATTCACATACATGTGACGTGTAAGAGAAATGAAGATATAATACAAAATACGTATCATACCACTACACCACTGCATTACTGCATGGTTTATTAAAGCAAATGCAGCTATGACTGAACATCACAAGAACACGACTGAAAGACTATTACAATATCATTACTCAGTGAATTATTTATCATTTGAATGCACTGACGAGTATTAAACCATGTCACACGGGTTGAGGTGACATCGTGTTGTGCTGTGATATTTAAGTGTGTAGCAGACTTGGGGACAGTCTTGGGGACAGTCCTGGGGACAGAACTTTGCCGAGGTCCGCAGAACCATCGCACACGTGTGAGACGCACCAAAAGCATGCAAAGGGGTTATGAACACCAGCAGGAACAGAGTGGAACACACAAGCCCATCCGCCCATTATACACCGTGCTAAAATATTCACAATTTCATCAATATCACAACAAAAGATGTTTGATACTGTTGTGTCAATCTGCATATAGGGGAAAACACTTACCACGTATAAACGTAAAGTGGATCTATGAAGTTGGTCGCTGTTCGGTCCCGACATCGTTACTCTTTCTAAAGTCCTACACGGTATAAAAGACGTCAGATCTAAGTTAGATGTGAAGAACAAATGTCAGAAATTACACGGCACGGAATAACACGGCGTCTTGCGAAATCGATATATATGCATAAAAAAACTCAGTAACTCATACCTTATGCAGCCGGTGTAAAGTCACCTTCACCGTTGGTGGTTTTATTGTGCTTTTATATTCTTATCTACTGAAGGTGGTTTGTGATAAACGTGTCCGTCCAAGTGACTGATAATGTTGCCTGAGTGTTATCAGGCTATAGAGAGAAAAACTGGGGGCATCGATACTGCGCTGTGTCGTAAATTATTGAACGGTACTACACGAGCATGAGAAAACAGAAACCAGCTTCACTTGAATCGCTCCTGCAGGAGGTGTTACAGCTGAAGGTCCATCACACGAAGCCGCCACACGCTGCATCCACACGCACCATTCAGTCACCCAGCCCCAAAACACCGGCCCTTATCTGCACCATTTTTGACCCATTCTACGGTGTAAAATGGAGCAGGAAACAGCCAATTTCACTACGTACATTGGTTGGCGTACAGTCAAGCTACTCGGTGGAAGAGTGCAAGTATCAGGGAGGTACCTAGAAATTCAGGGCCCCCTGACAAAATTTCACCTTGCGCCCCCACAGATGTACGTTTAATTTAACATATTCAAGGGCTTCTTTCAAGTGCAAAGCCCCTTAATCTTCCAGGATATCAATGTCCCCCGTTCGCAAGTGCACTATAATACAATACCATTTTCAAATCCCCAGATCGGTATATATACTTAAAACGTCAGTTGTCGAGAAATATCCCATTCTTCACTAAACAATTAAAATGGTACTGTAGTTTCAATTAACGCATTGGCTCTCTCAAATTGAAGCGAATCTGCTAATGTTCATTTAGTTTAGTTCAAGGAAAACTGAAAGATATAAAATTCTTGTCCACGATACAGCTATGGAACAGGTTGGTCTTACATCACCGAATGCTGGCCATCGCGCAGTTTAAATTGTAAAGACTCCCCTGGAGCACCAGGGGGCGCCAGCGCACACTTCGTTTTTTCCAGATCCGCTACTTTGTTTACAAGGTATATTTCAGACGCGTTTTATGTGTGAAAAAACGCTTTAATACAAGAGACAAGCTGCTATGTAGTTCACATAAATACTGATTTATTTTCCATTTATTACAGTATCTTAGTAATAACACCGCATTATATATGTAATGTACAACACCAAGCAATGATTTAATAATCATATAAAGATTTAAAGGGGAAAAGTTCATACAAGATAAAATGACAGTTCAGTGTTACAATCAACATGCCCTGATGTACATAGTTTAATGGATTTTTAAAGTTTGTTCAGTTATAATCGTGCAGTAGCACTACAGTGCAAATTTGGGTCACTTCATAAAAAGTTCCCAGTTTAAACCTACAAAAAGCAAAGTTGGTTATTATCAATAAGTCGAGGTACAGGCCATTAGTACAAATTACCATTTTGAAAAGCAACAATAAAATCATTACACAAAAAATGCCTTCCATTATAAGGTATAGGTATGGTCTTCATGGTTGATCAGTTCTGGCTTGCTCGTCTTCAGCACTTTTGTAAACAAACAATAATATTTTTGTAATAACCTATTTGCGTTTGACTGGCCGGTTCCTATCATGGTTTCTCCTCCCTACTTCATGTCAGTTTGTCGCCTGCTTCCGTGTCGCGTTCCGCTGCCTGTCAGACATGCAGCAGTCGCTGGGCCAGTGCCTGGATGTCCTCCCGGTGCTCGTACAGGTACATCTGCGTCTCCCACAGCATGTCCACCAGCACGGCGTCGCTCACCTCGTCCAGCATCACCTCCACCGACAGCTGGGGGCTCAGCCTGGCCGGTAGGGGTCGAGGGAGGAGGACGAGGAGGAAAGTGCAGGATGTGGAGGGAGAGAGGAACACAGGGAGACGCCCATTAGAATACAGAGTTGGGGAAATGTGGACTGTAACGCGGACGGAGCCCCTCCACGGGGCCACGCCCCCACAGCCGAGTGGAGTCAACTTAGCACTGACCTGTGATAATCGATATCCGTCATCTCACACCAAGCCTTGGCTCGGTCCACCGCACAGCCGTCGGAGTCGGTGCACTGCAACAGAGAGAGACACAGAGATGGGAACTGAAGGACACTGTCCCGGGAGGGGGTGGGGGGGGGATTCCCTTAAAGGACCTCGTTCTGCAGGGTCGCAAGAAGCATGAGTGAGTACAGACTGTGTCAGCCTCCCGTATCGCAATGCAAATTACAAAGCCAAACTCTTCAAACACCAGAACAACAACGTTCATTTTGTTAGCCGCTGGACCAGCCTTGTTTGTGCAGAGTGTAGCTCAGCAGGTAAGATACTGGTGCCTGTTTCCAGAAGGTTATGGGTTCGAATACCATAGGTGGCAGAGTAACCGTATCTCCACTGGACCACAAGCTTTCATCACTTGTAAGTCACTTAGGACAAAAAGCCCTGCTGATACAATGTTAATAAATAAATGTACCATCCGTGTGTGAAGAAAACCAAAATGACCAGATTCGTGGAATTCCCTTTAAAGGCAGGTGGCCCAGAGCAGCTCTGACCCCATTCCCTTTAAAGACAGGTGGCCCAGAGCAGCTCTGACCCCATTCCCTTTAAAGGCAGGTGGCCCAGAGCAGCTCTGACCCCATTCCCTTTAAAGGCAGGTGGCCCAGAGTAGCTCTGACCCCATTCCCTTTAAAGGCAGGTGGCCCAGAGCAGCTCTGACCCCATTCCCTTTAAAGGCAGGTGGCCCAGAGCAGCTCTGACCCCATTCCCTTTAACTTTCACGGCGCACTCTACTTTAATTTTCATTACTAAGCAGCTTCTCACAGGCTATGGGCGAGCTCCACGTGTGCACTTACACAGTCCACCAGCATCTTCCCCAGCTCCTTGGCTCCCACAAAGGACTTGGCCAGTTCCAGGGGGTTGGAGGGCCGGAACACATCCACAGAGTTCACCACCACCTGGGGGGGCTTCCCCGTGCCTAGTGAAACCACCACACCCAGCCGCTGAACTTCCTCTCCCCTACCCTGAAAGATAACCGGGCAGTGAAGCGAGGGGGGCGCCTTCAGATATTACGACCGTAGTTTAAAGACGACAGCGGAACCAATACACCAGGGACATATACAAGGGCGGGGCCACAGGGAGACTGGCATCAGCTGAAAGCTGATTGGTCACCTCTCCTGTCACTCACCTTTTGTATGAATTATGGCCCCTATTATACCCACACCTTTAAAAAAAAAAAACCTAGAATCGCCCCTGCCACAGACTGTCAGGAAGTTAGAAGCTGACATGGTCTACTTATTCCGGCTTAAGGGATGTATCCCTGTTACTGCATGTACAGCCGTCTAAGCTCCGTGTGAAGGGTACGGGTCTGCATACCTGCGCTCGGAGAGCTTTGTTGTGCTGGTGTATCTCCGTCATGGCATCCAGCGTGGGGTTGTTGGCTAGCAGCCCCCCGTCCAGAAAGCGGCCGCTAGGCCGGAAGTAGGTGGGGGCGGCGCCACTGGATCGGGCAGCGCGCCATACGCACTGGTCTGGGGGAGAGCGGCGGAGGGCAGAGGTGAGACAAGGCAGAGGGAGGAGACCCCACTATTTACTGTAGTTCTGTAAAGGGTCTGGAAGCGAGGCTGTGTAAAGCCGTGCGATTGGACGACCATGTCCAGCCGTGTGATTGGACGACCATGTCCAGCCGTGTGATTGGACAGCCATGTCCAGGTTCATAGTGAGGTGAAAGCTGCCATTGTGTGTTTCACCTGCGTGTGCCCCCATCACACAGTGCCGGACGTCCTCACTCACTCTCTCACACACATACGCGCACACACACCTTTATCTCGGATGGTCCTACGCTTTTTTGAAGGGGGGCTCTTGGAATAACCCACTATCAACACATCCTCATCCTCCCATCCTGAAACACCAAGACACAAAGGACCACATGTACTCGCAGTACACACCAGCAGTATGTAGCATGTACCCACAGTATGCGCCAGCAGTATGCAGCGCGCACCCGCAGTATGCACCAGCAGTATGCACCAGCAGTATGCAGCGCACACCAGCAGTATGCAGCGCGCACCCACAGTATGCACTTGCAGTATTAGCGCGTACCCACAGTATGCACCAGCAGTATGCAGCACGCACCCGCAGTATGCAGCGCGCACCCGCAGTATGCAGCGCGCACCCGCAGTATGCAGCGCGCACCCGCAGTATGTGCCCACAGTATGCACCTGCAGTACACAGTACCATACATACAGTATGCACCCATGGTATGCAATATGCATCCATCGTACTCCATCGTATAGTAACCAAGACACCATGACCCTTTGGGGCTGGGCTCTTATTCAGAGACGTATGAGGGAGAAGCATGGGGGGGCAAAGTGGAGAGCGAGGGTCATACCCTGCGGGATGGTAAGGGGCTGGAATGTAGCCTTCGAGGCATAGGGGGGCTCCCTGATGAGATCAGGAGGGTCATAGTTTCGGAAGAGGTGCAATTCTCCAGGGTGCCTGTCTGCGAGGACGCTGGTCACAATCACCCTACAAGAGAAGCAGACACAGAAGTACAGATCCGGCCCATGCAGGCTGACATAGGGGCACCAGAACCATTGAGAACTGGACACACACTGCGGCGGGACACACACGGATTCCCAAAGGACAACGGGGTACCTGGGGTGCCGGATGTCCGTCATCTTGGTGTTCTCGCCGAACTCCTGCTTGAGGAACTCCTCCAAGGGGGCGGACTCGTAGGGACGGGAGCCTCGGAACACCTTCTCCTTCATCCGGAAATAGAGGCAGCGCAGGTACTCCATGGATTTCCCTAAGAGACGGAGACGAGGAGGAAGTGGGGAGCGAACGGGGGGGTGAGTAACAGGAAGCATCCAATGAATGAAAGTGCTTAACCCTCCGGGGTCTAGGGGTAGGGGACACACATTCACTGACTGGGGCATGGTCACACATTTCATTCAATTTCATAAACGTAATTCATGGCAAATAAATTATTTCTTATATATTTGTTTTGGCACTAAACTCACCTTAATCTTAGTGCACTTTGTAAATATGGAAGATTTATGTTAAGTTTGTAATTTGACATAAAAGTATAGACATTGCAAAATGCAGTTAGGAACACTTGCAGAGAACATTATAAAAGTACATAGTAAGCAATGCTGGATGTTTGTTTTGATCCCAGATATCTGATCACAAATCTCTTGGCTACATGAAGATGACTAAATGGTGTAGTTGCAACATTCAGTTGGATAAATAAAGAAAAACCGAACTAATGTCACTATTTCTGGCTCCTTTCATTGAATATGTAGCAACTTTCATGTGTATGAATGAGCCATTGTCACCTGGCCACGTCCCTCCCCCCCTTTTATGGCGCTAAAGGGGATGTATCTGGATCGCGTTTCACCGTTGCGCTGTTAAAATTACCATGCGAATGCGATTTGAATACGCGCTAATGCGGCTATTTAGAATGTGAATAGCGATCTTTGGGGTGAGAGCGGTACTACACGCCCCCGATGCAGGTAAAACAAAGTAAGATGACATGGTTTACTTTTTTGCCGATTTAACCTAATTAAAAAAACTTTAATACTTCCGACAATGGATGTTTTGAAAAGAAGACAGATTATGGATTTAGTCAGTTTTTTCATGTTTCTACAATAAGATTTATTAAGAGTTATGAAGTGAAATAGACGAGAAAGATACGCGGCATCGCCAACGATGCCGTCGACTCCAGAGGGTTAGAACACGAGTGAGAATCGAGTTCTGACCGTGTACTATAGCCAGGGCCAGGATGCCGCCCGTGCTGGTTCCGGAGATCCAGTCAAACAGCTCCCGCACCGGGCGCCCCGCCGCGCGCTCCAGGGCGATCAGCATCTGGATCAGAACCAGACCCTTGATGCCACCACCATCCAGACTCAGCAACCGGTCGGTTCTGAAGGGGAAGGGGGGGGGAGGAATTCAATGCTTATTATAAAAATGTACAGATAAGCTCAGCACAAACAAGCTTCGTCTACACGCCAGGAGAGAGAGCCTCAAGCTCTCTTAAGGTCAGGTCAAAATTCAGGTCAGGGGTCAAAGGTCATCCTCGCCCCAATGATGTCACAGTATGCCTTTCACGAGGTACAGGTGGCACTACACATGTGCAGTAACCACCAGGGCTTTAAATGACCGGTGTAAAGATTCGTCCTGATGTGGGCTTTTCACTATTATTCAGACGTTTAACTTACGCCCAGAATTCGATAAGCGAATTAGTAGTACAGCTAAAATATCAATGAGAGGTGTATCGTGACGCCCAAAATCTGTATAAATTCAGCGTATCCTTATGCCTAATAAATTCGGTTAGCGGAAGCAGGCTACAGCTCAGCAACCACGACATCTTTTAAAAGAGGAGATGTTGTGGATGAACAAGAGGCGTCAGCAGAACTTTCTGCAGTTTAAGTCCGACACGTTTATTAAACGTGAGGACACCGTAGGCAGGCGTCCAGACAGATGTTTTCGCCCGTCACCTAAAGCCCTGGTGATTGTTTGCATGCGCTATATAATGGCGATGCGGCATCATGCAGCCCTGGGTTTCAGTGTCAATTCATCTCAGCCCACAGCTGCGGCTCCTCTGCAACTCAAAAGGTGACTTTGCAGCTAAGAACGAGGTAACGCCGCACCTTTCAGGGAACGGGGAAATCTCAGCTGGACGTTTTTAGGTCTAGGGAACTGTAGCATCTTGCATGCAAGGTATTAAAAAAAAGACTAAATTTAGCCCCAATGTAATGTTGAAAAATATTTGGAAAAAACAAGAAATTTCTTACATGATTTCACTTCCAGTAGGTCAGAAATAAAATCATCTTCTATTCCATATAGATCTCAAACACAGTTTGGGGAACCATGGAAGAGAAATTCCAGCAAGTGGGCAATCCCAGTGTGACCAATTATAGCTACTATTAAACATGGATAAAAGCAGGTTCTTACTTTGCGGTCGATGTTTTCACACCGTCCACTTCAGCGTATCCCCGAGTTATGGCCCCTACAGCGGCAGCGATGTGGACAAGATCCTCAAACCCTGCCAGCCAATCACAGAACAGACAAGGCTCAGCCAATGAGACGGATCTGAGCCGGTTACCCATTCACAGGAAATGTCCATTACTAAAATGTTTGGTGGATTTTATTTATATTGTAACACAGCCTTCAAAGTGTCTTGTCACTGGAAGGCACAGGCAAAAATAACACACACCTCCCACTGTCCAAATACTACAAACTGCAAATCACTTTTTTAGAAGAATTAAACAGGTTCGACCTTGACAGCCCATCCTGGAGAACTCATGAGCCATGTCTGATCAGGGAATTTACCCATTCGTAATGCTTACTCATAATCATTGCCATAGGTAATTGATTAAAACGCCTAAAAATCAGTTCAGACCAGACCAAGGTAATTCATAACTGTTCCTACCTTAAGTGCTGAGAGAAGGGATAAGGTTAGCATGTGTACACCTACGAGAGCACCTGAATAAAATGTGTAATAACTTAACTGTAGAACATGTCCTCTCAGAACTGGTCATCCATTTCTCTGCTTTGTGCTGGTCTGGACTGGATGTTTACTTTGAGAGACCAGAGACTAGACTCAGCGAGGGAGTTTCTCCAAGAGTAAGGTCACATGGATCAGTCAGCCATGAAGAAAGTTTTGGAGGGGCCACCTCCGCGGGGGGGTGGGGGACTCAGTATAAAAGAAACAAGTGAAGGTGCCCATGGATGAGAGAGGGAGGAAGAGGAGGAGGAGGAGGAATGGCCCATGTGAAACATGGAGGGAAGAAGAGAGAAGAAGATCAGGGACGAGGGGGGGCTGTTACCTATGGCTGGAGGCGGAGGCCTCTTCGGGGGAGTGTTGGGGGGAGAGATATTTAATGAGGGGGGGTGACACCGCTGCACCCCTACACTACACAGCATGTCACGGAGAATTTTTCTGTTGGAACCTTCAAACACAGGCAGGGAGTTAGAGACATGCAGTGAGACAGTGCTGTGAGGGTGGAGCACTGTCACACACACACACACACACACACACACACACACACACACACACTTCATATAAAACGGGAAAATTAACTCGTACATCAGCACGCATGATCCTGCAGGAACACGTTTTGCCCTAAGGCTATGTCTGTTTAAAAATACAGTTACGACAGATCAAATTACACTCAAAAAATATACGCTTTGTCTGTTTTCCCATATAAACAAAGGAAGCAGTTCTCCATACACCAAGAACAGAGAATTTTCTAAACTACGTCACTCTTTCCAGTGGGACACGCTGCGTTGTCTACAGGAAGGGATACCCCTCCCCACCCTTTTCCGGGATCTAATTCCCGGGCTTCCTATGAATCCCTGGTGCTACTGAGAAATGCCCAGGGCAATCCGAGCAGCAGCCTAATGGGGGGGGGGGGAACTGCCAGATGGGGGCTTTGAAACAACACAAATAGCTTTTTCCCCCCTTTAGTTTTTTTAGTTTCTTCAAAATAAATCACTACTTGGGACAGATTAACAGTCGCTGCGACGAACAAAGCAGGGGTGTCGTTAGACACTGCTTTATGTGATTATTTACGGTGTGGAAAGACCCTTGGATCAGTTCCCAGTAACTGTGAACAAAGTGATAATCCCACAGGCAACGTCGGGGGGATCCCTGAACAAAGGACCCCTGAAGCGCGACCCCTTAAATCGCCGCTCACTACTCTCCGGTGAGAGCTGACAGGGTCACGCCCAGGATCGGACAGACCCACAGGGCGTAAACAGCGAAATAACACAGAGCCAAGATCTGAACATAAAGGCTAAGCTCTGCACGTCAAGCATGGGAGCCCAGAACGAGAAATGCTGATAATCCACAATGGGCAAACGTTCACATATCATTCACACAACATTTGCATAACATTCAAATAACCGCATAAAGTTCACTTAAAGTTTAACAGCGTTACAGGTCATGCAGTTAATGTGCCGTCTTCACGACTCATGGACATGAGCACGGTCATGCACAGATAAGTCCATATCAACACATGCGTCATTCACTTATTCATCGTTTCAGTCTGTCATATCTCTTGTTTTTCTGTCTTTTAGTAAAAAAAAATGTTTATGTCGTGCATGACATACTCGGACCACAAGGTGGCGCTCAATTTCCCCTCCAGGCGCACACTGTGGTTCGGTTGCAATGGCAGTGCTCTATAACTGTAAAATGCAGCCCACCCACGCAGACATGTGCCGACGTGCTCACCTTTGCTGGTGCGGGCCGCTATGAGCCCAGGAGTCTCCCCCAGGTCATTGTGGATCTCAACATCGGCTCCGAAGACAATGAGGGCCTTTATCAGGTCTATATGGTCCATCTGAGGGGAGGGAAAGAGAGACAGAGTGTTGGGCACACAGTGACCTTGTTATTAAATAAGCAGTGGATGGATGGATGCATGCATGCATGCATGCATCCTGTGTGTACATACATGCGTGCATGGATGGATGCATGCGTGCATGCATGGATGCATGCATGGAGGAAGTAATGCTAGGCAAGGGAGGACTTGTCCAATAGAGAAGAACAAGGAGACACGGTTCTCATGTCCTGTAACATCCACACGCAGCACTCCTCACCTTCATGGCGAGGTGCAGCGCGGTGTTGCCATTCTCGCCACGGAGGTTAGGGTTAGCCCCATGTGTGAGCAGCACCATCGCGGCCTCAAAGCGCCCCCTTTTGGTCAGTATGTGAAGTGGACTCTCTCCCGTCTTGCTCAGATAGTTCACTGAGCAGCTTCTCTCCAGGAGCAGACGGCTCATCTGGAGGAACGAGGAGAATTGAGCAGAGGGAGGGAGAAAGAGAGGGAGGAGGGATGAAGGGAAAGAACAGCACAAAGCCCAGCCGCTTAAAATTGTTTCCTAATTACTTGATATACACTGGAGATGTATTCACCTTAAGAACAGTGCACTTAGTTTTCCTCTTGGCATAGTGTGAATATTTGGGTAACATTTTTGTGGAAGACGAAACAAGTCCACTCACAGAGCACTATGAAACACCCCAGTAACCAGCTAGTCATCAGTTTTTAAGAGCAACCAGAGAAAATGTGAATTGAAGACAAATGGGACATGACATAAAATCGAATTGGGTGAGGGGAAAAAAATAATCCAGGGGAGCCGAATCACCCTGACCAATGCTTCCAAACTGTGGAGTGAAATGATCTTGGCCGTGGCTTGCAGAGACGTTTCATTAACACAGAGTAGATGTCATCCACCAATGGGATCTCAGCAGGCTGCAGACATACACCTGCTGGCTATGCATGTACTGTACACCGTCATACAGGCACTGGCCACACGGCGGCCAACGCGAAGACGCCCACCTCGCCCGTCTTGGCCCAGTGCAGGGGGGTCCCTCCGTAGAGGGCATCTTCAACCTCCAGCTGGGATGGATCTGCAGCCAGGATGGCCTCTACACAGCTGGTGGGGGGGGGGGGGGAATGAGAGGGACGAAAAGATGAGTCACATTGGTCGAAAGGTCAAAGAGGGTCACATGGGAGGGAAGGAGGGTTCGTAGGTTCGAGGACAGCAGACACTTAGGAAAAGTGATACAAGACGTTATGGAGGAGAAGCAGGGCAGCTCTTGGCAATCATGACCGGAGATGGAAGATTCAGATCAAGACACTTCAGATCCAGAACAAGATTTTGTTTCAACCAATCAGTTGAGTATGAAGAGTCTCATACACAGGATATGCAACTGGATGGTTTGGATCTTGGTTTGGATTCGTACTTTCTGGACCTGAACGTTCCACCTCTTATCATGACAATGTTCAAATAAGGGGGGGGGGGGCAGCTGCATGCAGATGGGCCGCCAGGGGTGTCCCTCACCTCCTCTCGTTGTACTTCATGGCCATGTGAATGGGGTAACCCCGCCCCCCCATGACATCACAGCAGGCCCCGCCCTTCAGCAGGGCCTTCAGCGACTCCACCCGGCCCAGCCGGCATGCCACGTGCAGGGGCGCCTCGCCAGAGGCGTTCAGCTCGTTCACGCCCGGGCAGTGGCTGGAGCACAGCACCTGCGTGAAACAGAGCCAGGAGAGCGGCGTTTCAGCTAGTGTCACGCTGCATTCAATCCGCCTTTAGCATCTTCTGGTTTAGCGGTAATTAGCGTAGCATCAAGCACTTCCATGACCGTGACACTAGAGGGCGACATGCAGGCAGGAATTCCATATGCTGCTCGCTAACAAAGAAAAGCTCATGGAAATGGCAGAGAGGAAGGGAGGAATCTATCCCCTCCTGTGGGACAGTATAAAGTTACAGCCCTAGAGGACTGGGCAGGAAAAAATAAACGTCAGGCAGCTTTACAGTGTGACTTTTTATAAGTGTGACTTTCCCCTTTACACGACTTCTGCATTTCCAGGAAACAGTGGAGACGTCCAGCATAGCCTGCACGCAAAACTGAAACCGCAGGCGAGCGACACCTTGGTTAACGGACCTCAGCCCGGCGCAGACAGCGCAGCAGACAGAGATCGGAGTGGCACAACGCTCGGCACTTGTGACTCACAATGGAAGCTATTACTTGCACATGCTCGTTAACAAAATTCAGCAGCATTCAGCAGAGCGTGGCCAACATGCTTATGACCAGAGTCCAGCCTGCAAGATGGCTGCCTTCCCCACTCGTAGGGTCCTGAAGTTTTGGAAACGGCAACTGCCACAAACAGGGAGCGCTCCACACACCTGAATGACCAATGGGGACTCCTGCTTGGCAGCGCAGTGCATGGGTGTCTCCCCCTGCAGGTCCCGGATGCTGGTGCTGGCCTGGCACTCCTCCAGCAGCTCGCGCACGCAGGCCACGTCTCCGCGCTCGCAGGCCAGGTGCAGCGGCGTCTGGCCGCATGCATTCCTGCTGTTAATCTGGCTGCAGGAACGAGATCAAACAAGCGCAGGGTTCATTACACAAACAGGTAAGCGCAGTGGCTGCACAGAAGGGCAAGAACCGGCCCAAAATGCTTCAGATTCAACTCATCATTTCTCTCTCCAGAAATGTTGCATTTAAATATTTCATGAAATTAAAGGGTATTTCTAAAGATGTGGTACATTGGCGTGAACACAGATCCGCCTCTCGATCTTTTCCATTCTAGCCACTGCATAAAACAAGCAGAAAATTTGCTTCTGGTAGTGCAGCAAATGAACTCAGAGGTCCTTTATAATAAACTTTGACCTTCAAATTTGTGTTGCGAAACCAGTGGGCTGGGCTGAGCCTATCCTAGAGGTTATGGGTGCAAGGCGGGGAACAGCCCAGGAAGGGATGCCGATGCATCACAGGGTGTACAAAACTACAACAAAGGACAATATTTCTTTTATGTGCATTTGCATTGTTATGGCAAGAATTTTTTCTAATAATACACCCATATTCATTTGACTCTACAAAGACTTTTTTCCACACCTTTGCTCTTTTTTTTCCAGCTTATACCTTTGCGTTAATTCTTTAAAAAAAAAAACACACACACTGAACTTATCCATCAAAATTAAACAGTTGAACCAAAAATACTGGTCTCATAGAAGCGTAGAACAAAAACAAATAAACTAGGAACCAAAATAAAACTTAAAAACAAAGTTTTTTCAGGATATCTGTAACGAAATCCCTCAATAAATACCAAAAATCCACACTGGAAATGAAAGTGAGGATCATCAGGTCAGATACCCCAGTTGGTGCCATATCCCAAAACCCGTTAAAGAAAATGACTTGGAAAGACTGTGTGTCTTTATTTGGTACCAAAATAAAACATTCGTACTTATTAAAATTTGACCAGGGCCAATTTTCAATTTTCAAATTTTCCCTGCCGGGACCTGCTTTCATGGGTTGTTTTTGTTTACTTAAATAATAAACCCTTTCCAATCCACCACTCCTATCCCCCTCCCTGCCCCCACTCCCCCAACCGTCTCCACCCACCCTTCCCTGACCTAAGGACGCAGTTGTGCTTCAGGCACTGTCTCAGGCCGATCTCCACGGCGATGTGCGCCGAACTCCAGTCTGGGTGATTCCGGATGCAGTCTGCGATTGGCTGCATAGCTTCAGGCTTGAGAAAACCAGGCGTTTCATAGAAGGGGCGGATCTTCATGGCGTATTGAGGGAACCAGTTAAAGGCGTCTTCTTCGGTGCCAACCTGGAACAGCCTGGCAAATTAAGACAGAGTGAGCACTTTAAGTTCTACTGACGCTCACAGAAGAACATCAGAAAGTGAAAGGAATCTGTCAATTCCTGCCCCTCATCCATCCATCTTCCATACTGCTTATTCAGTACAGATTTGTGAGGAGCCTGGAGCCCATCGTGGACAGCATAGGGCAGGGAACACCCTACAAGATAAACACTCACAAACAAACTTGGGCAATTTAGAAATGCCAGTTGTCTCCAGGTATTCTTTAGCACTAGAAGATAACCAGAGTTCCTGGAGTTCAAGCAACAAAGGGATAAATCTACAAACTCCACACACAGACTTTGACCCACCAACCCTTGGGAGGGGTGTGTGGCTACAAGGCTTCCCACTGACCCAAGGCATCACCCCTCCCCTCCTGTTTTTCAGCTCAATTTTAGAAAGATTTCCAAGCTTCATTTCTGCACAAAGCATAGAATGTCAGAGGTACACCAACCCGATGACAACTGTTAAACCGACAAAACGAGAAGAACGGCTTCTGAAGCACATCACGTCTCTGTGGTGCCACGCAAAAAGTCAACAACGCATTGAATGAATGAGAAACTGAAAGTGGAAGACGTCAGAGGCATCACTTTGAAACCAAAAGGAGATATCTCTGCACGGCTACGTTACACATCGTCCCCCCAGCCCACTCACCTCAGGGCCATGCCGGGCGTTTCGGAGCAGAGGATCACACAGTCCCACGACTGACAGGGGGTATTCCTGTAGAGCACCATCATGCCCTCCTCCTTCAGCAGCACCCGATCCCTGCCTCCATAATCTGACTGTGGCACCTCCCTTACCCGGTACGGATTGGACAGGACTGAGGTGATGGTACCCACAAGTCGGCCGAGGAACTGCATTGTAGTCCTGAACCAAGATAAGGGCGAATCTCGGTTATTAAGGAATATTTTAAGCAAGGAAAAAACGCATCAAATCATTCTGATATAGAGTGCTTTGAATCCCATAAGAAAAAGTACGTTGCTGCAGGTTCATTTTTTTGCATATATGTTCAGCACATACAAAGCAAACATTTTTCCCTTGGCGGGGTGTTGAGAGCAGTCGTGTTTTGCGGCGGACCACTTCCGATAGCCCCCGACTGGGTGTATGCTCGGAGTTCAGTGCGATTAAACAGGTCTTGTGACGAATTCAATGTCCACATTAAGATAATGGAAACCATTAATTTACAATCAATTAATCCCAGAATTAATCATTTACAGAGAATAAAATCGCAGTGCAACTAGTATGTAATTTCCTTCTCGTCTTGTGGAACTCATAAAATAAGATACTTGACTGAGTAATGGCATAAACTAGCTGGTCCTACATCAGGGTTGCGCGCTGTCGGCATGGAGTGATCAAAACGCAGGAGAAACATAATAAAATATAAATACAAAAACCTTCGAAATAATGCAATTCAGCAAATCACCAATCACACTTTAAGCTTGCACGGGAGGGAGTTTCACTTCGGATATGTCAGTTAATCGTCTCAGGCAGGCTTTCCCAGACTCATCCCGACTCACCAGCAGTTTCACCGTCTCCTCATGTGATCCGGTTACCTCGATTTTTGACAGCAGATAATCAGGCCAACCAAATCCGACTCACGTTTTACGGACTATGAAGTTCACCAATAGCAAAGGGGGATATTTAAACGTCACAGCTGCTGTAGACCAATAGAGCAACGGCGTTGCTCGACAAAGGGAGGGCTTAGAAGCAGTACTATTTGGTGTAAGGTGAAGTGTTATTAGATACTAACACCGTGTACATCGTTTTTGTTGTCCTTACTGTCTTAATAAATATTTTTGGTTGGTGTCTCTCTTTGAAAAACGATTTGCTAATCAACATAAGTCCTCATAAAAAGAAACAGCATTTGATAGAAGTACTTGTTATTCCCAATGACGTATCGCTATTGTGTGATTGCCAAATAAGGAACAAAAACCCACTTTGGTTTGGTTGCGACAATATTCTTTCTTTTTTCACGGGATTTTGCACCAAATGTATGAACTTCCTTTTTTTTGCAGTTCACCCAAGAAAAATGACGCCCGTCGTAAACCTACGTGATGACTCCTTGAACCTTTGTACTTGAGTATTTCGTTGCTGCTCCCGGCATTTGGAAACTTGAACTGTGGTCGCTCGTTTAGCTCCCATTTGTTCCATTAAGTGGCATCTGTGTCATTAGTGCCTTTCAAGTGTGTTGCAAGGAACTGCGTGCTGGCATCTTCCTACAGCTTTTTACTGATTATTAGGCCTACACTCTTTTGGTAAATTAGATTTGTCTGGGTTCTTGCACGTATGTCTATTAAAATGAACAAGTTGCTGTTCCGATGAAAACCAAACGGACTTTCCTTTCTTTCCGTCTTTCTTTCTTTCTTTACTTTATTGCTAATTTATTTATAAAAGGCTAGTAATGTTCAAGCGAGTAGGCAGAGGCCTTTTGAGTGGATCAGTGGCACCCACTGGGATGCTGAAAGCAGATACTGTCATTTATGTGAAATTCAAGGACACGGAAGTGTTATTCACAGGAAAATGTCAGGAATAGCAGCAGAAAGAACAGCAAGTATAGCGTGCTGCTTAACAGCATAGCCGTATAAACTCAGGGTTGCTGATTTGAGTTATAGGGCTGTTCGGATTATGACAAAAATCACATTCACGGTTATTTTGGACAATAGTTTATTGACATCACGATTATTTAACATGACTATTCATTGACTTCAGAAACACTGTACATTTATTGAACACTTTGAAAAACATGTCTGTTTTAACAGTGGATTTTCTTGAACTAAATATAATTCAACCGAGAAACAAAAATAAAGAGAGGCCGGAAAGTGGTGCGCTGGAGTTATAACACAAGACAACACGGAGCATCATTGCAAATTGTAATGCGCAGCGCAATAATACTTACATATTGACTATTTTATTTTGATAATCGTTGGAATCCAAAATCGTAAATGAAATAAAAATTCGACTAATTGCCCAATTATATAGTTTGAGTCCTTGGAGGTGTTTGCCATCGTTCCAGTGTAATTGCAAACTACACAAGTTTCAGTTAGATGTATTCTAGATTGAGAGACAGGGGACAGGGTTGTGTGGTCTGAAACACGTTTTTCATGTCAATACATCACTTGCAATACGTATTTAGAGGCCGGAGATGTGTATACAGGGACTAGCTACGGGGTGTTTCTGGCCGGGCATGAGAACCTGCACATTTGTCAGAGCAAATGAAGTGTCTCATTTTTGAGGTTCTGGGTGTCCGGATTTCGATCATGCAAAATTATGGGAGGGGGACCGCCCCAGTCGGCAAATGTTACCAAGTAGGAAAACTCGAGAAGCCTCTGCATGGCCCCAAGTGTATGGATGTCTTTCACTTCTCCAAGTTTCAAGTTTTATTGTTAACGCACTGAAATTCTTGGGTCACAGTTGCAGGAGGATGGGACAGACGCATGAGGGGACAGCAAGACACACAGCAGTGCAATACAATACAAGAATGTAAGATTAAGTAAACAATAAATAAGTAATAAATTGGTAATGCAATATGGGAATGTGAAAATTGATAACAGTATAGTATATAATGCAGAAATGGTATATAATGGGATGCCCTCAACTTGAGCTTTTGAAATCTGGTGCTTACAGATATGTTGATAGAGTTGCTTCGCTATATACAAATTATGATAATATACATGTCAGTGTACTCGCATTGAATAATTATTGTACTAATAGTTTGAAATTCTACAGGGAAATTGGTATATACCATTCTTATTAGATTCTCTCTCTTCCCCTATCATATTGAACTTGGTAGATTTTACTGTTCAATAGAGGGCGGTATGCGCCGTCCGTGGTAGGAACCCGCCATTATACCTCAGAAGAAGAAAAACATGGAGCTATCAGCGGTCGGGGATCGCATTTTCGCCGCGGAATCCATAATAAAACGCCGCGTCCGAAAGGTGAATAGCCCATTAACTGTCACGGGCGTAATTCCTATGAGTCGCCGCGCCCGACTGTGGTCACGTACCGCGACAATAATGCGGGATCGCGCAGCGAGGGGCTTCGAAAGGCCTAACGCGACCGGGGCTGCCTTATTAAACTATGATTTTTGGGGGGAAGACTGGGAGGTGGGAAGTGATGTGTTACAGAAAACGGGGCCTAGATTGCTTGTTGCGATGGTGTATTTCCAGCGGGGCGATATGCGTACGTCTATTGTATGTGATCAATCAAATGCACGGAAGGAGGGCACCAAAAGGACGATCGGAAGAGTCGTGCACGTCGATGTCCAGTAGTGCACTGGTTAACAGCAGCCCCCGTGTGCGCGGGCACGTCGTACACAGCCCCAGCGCTCTCGGACCCCGACGGAGCCGCCGCGCTGATCGCCAGGCGCTGCGAACTTGCTTTCTGGGAATGTGCTTGTTTTTTAGGCCGCTTTAATGATGCAGTTACCACCTATATGATTACAGCCGAATAAGTGTCATGTTAAGCGGGACAGTGTATCTGCCAGCTAATACGCACAACATTTAAAACAGAAACACAGTTCTCTTCGTATCGCATTGGTTGTATTTCTTGCTGATCGAAGTCAATTTTGTGTTTCAGGGTCGCATTGAATATCTTGTGAAGTGGAAAGGATGGGCGATCAAGTAAGTTTACACTCAGTGACGCTTTATTATATTAAACTGATACAACAGTAAGGGTTGTACTGCAGATTGCAGCGTTTGAGGGCATCAGTGGATCCGGCTCAAATGGACAGACTATTTAAATATGTTACAGACTATAGGTTTTATATTACTGTTTTATAAGTGCCGTCTTGTGCCCGGTAGGTGAAATTAAATAGTCTGAACTGCCGTTTATGTATGTAACGTGTACGTAATTCCCACAGATACAGCACATGGGAGCCAGAGGAAAATATTTTGGATGGGCGTCTCATTGCGGGTTTCGAGCAGAAGTGAGTTTTCATCTGGATTGTGCTGTAAAACGGCCGTAAAATGTTACAAGACTTAAATGTTACAAGTATTTTATTACAGTAAAACGCCATCATTTTTCCATTACATGAATCGTCTTTCTGTATCTCTGGCTCAGTTCTTAATATTTTAATAGCGTGCGTGTGCATCAGCTTGGTTGATGATTGATAACGGACTAGAGTAACTGTAAAATACATCCTTCTGTGTTATTAAGCGCCTGCATTGCTCGTGTTTATTTGTTAAAGGCAATATTGATTCTTTTCCAGAGAACGAGAGAGGGAACTTTATGGGCCAAAGAAAAGGGGACCTAAACCTAAAAACTTCGTTCTTAAGGTGCTTTTTTTAAAACTAACCCTTTAACCCCATTTGCTCCATTTATTTGGAGAGTAATTATATCTGTGCAGCGCAGTCAATCAGGTAGCGTATCAAAATGACATCTAATCCTTTTGTATGTGCATGATATTCAAATAATATCAGTTATTTATATTAAATATTTAAATATTAATGTTTTTTTTCCACTTGCCTGTTCATTAATACGTAATTTTGAGTGAGTAATCTATTCACAACTTTTGCCAATGTAAATCTTGTCCTGAAGAGGCAATCCCCCCCCCCCCCCCCCCAACTTGGCAAATCCTAGGGAAGTGACCCTTGGCTTTGTGATGCTTCGGGAAAATAATTTGGATCCCCTTTGATATCTCTGCTTCTCTTCTCTGTTTTTAAATCGAAATTGTGTTCATTTTCTCTCTCTCTCCTGTCTCCTCCCATCTGACCCCTTTCTGTCCTCCTTCTGTATGTGTTCCTACTTTCCATACGCTGACCTCCTTACGTTCCTCCTTTCCTGGCCTCCCCAGGCGCGAGCCCAGGCAGCAGAGACCCGCGGTCCAAGCAGAGTCCCCGACGTTCGCCTCCGCCAGTCCACCGGCTCCTCCTCCAGGCCTTCCACTTCTTCAGCTCCCTCCTCATCCATGTCGTCGTCCTCTACCTCCTCCTCTTCCTCAGCCCCCACTCCCAAACTCCATTCCGGGGCGGCCTCTCACAAACTGAAGAAGGATATCCGCCGCTGCCACCGTATGTCCCGCCGGCCGCTGCCCCGCCCTGACCCGCTGGCCTCTGGCTCCGCTGGCGGCCCCTTCCCATCGCGCCCCCCCGTCTCACCTTTCTCGGAGACAGTCCGTATCCTGAACCGCAAGGTCAAGCCCCGCGAGACCAAACGGGGCCGTATCATACTCAACCTCAAGGTCATCGACAAGACACCGCAGCCTCCGACCTCCAGGGGGCGCCCTAACATCCCGTCCCGGAACCGCATCATCGGGAAACGGCTGAATGAGGTCTCCTACAGGGGCCTCCAGCCACCCGTGAAGCTGCCGGGATTCCCCATGTACGGGAAGCCGTTTGGCGTGCAGCAGGTCAGCTCCGACGTAGGCCGCCTGCGTGCCGGGACTGGTAACAGTACTAGGAGTTGTGGCGGAGCTGGGAATAGTGGTCCTGGTTCCTCCAACCGTAATTCAGCCTCCGAAACCCATGGTGGCACGGCTGAGCCGCCTGTGTCGCAGTACCAGGCTCCGCCCTCACCATCTAGCTCCGGAGGTGTGGACAGCAGCCCTCCCTCCCCGGGCCAGGCCCCGCCCACCCCCAGCGAGGCTCCGCCTCAGTCCCTGCACGTGTCAGCGGCCTCAGCTTCTCCTCCCAAACTGAGCCCTCAAGCCTCATCCGAGCCTGAGGACGCCCTGGGGCTGCAGCCCGGCCCCCAGCCCGCTTCCTACCTGCCCTCCTGCCCCTCCCCATCTTCCTCACCGTCGTCATCAGAGGATGATGATGAGGCGGCCGTGGATCTTTCCGCGCCTCGTATCACCAAGCGCCGGCCCAGGGGACGACCACAGCGCAGGCGTCGCCCCAACAGGGCCACGGCCCCGGGCACCTCGTCCCCGGACCCCGACAGCAGCCCCCCCCTCCTTTCCCCCGAGCCCCCGAGGGCCGTCCTAGAGGGGGACCCCGACTGGCACCCCGAAATGGCCCCGTGCTGTGCCGACGTGGTCGTCACCGACGTCACCACGAACCTCCTCACTGTCACCATCAAGGAGTTCTGTCGTCCGCCGGAGTTGGACAAATCTGGGCCGGCCTCCCCCTCCTCTGGGGCCACGGCCCCGCCGTCACCCACTCCATCAACCCCCCACCCGAAACCGTGAACTCGGGGTGGGGGGGAAGAGGGGGGACAGGGCACGACGCCCATTACCTAAGCCTTCCATTCCTCTAATCCTATAGCTTCACCCCTCTTAATTAAGCCCTAATAAGCTGATTTAACAGAGGTACTGTATTTAATATTATATATATATATTTTAAAAGTAAGTCTCAATATGCAGTGAGTTCGTAAACAGGACTTTCCTGGTCTCCAGTATACTGTGTGTTATCCGTCGCAACGTGACCTGTGCCGATCTTTCCTGCACGGTGACCCTGGGCTTGTAGCTTCCTGTCACGGTTCCATGCAGCGTTGGGTGGGTGGGCAGGTCCATTCCAGATGACGGCCAGCCTGCTCCTGGCTTCCCATTAGCTTCACGGCTTGGAACATGAAGGCGCTCCCTGCTTTGCCACACGCACGCACACGCAAAACACACACACGGGCGTGTATAAATGCGTATTTATGTGTGCACAATTGTTTACACTGAGAAACCAGCGTTCTGGCGGTTGTTTCCCCTTCCCATTGTACCACGGTGACCCAAAACCGGCCCTCCTCTGTACATAGGCCTCTCGGACTGTGTCGCGTGTGTGATGCTTGTCATGTTCCTTAAGCAGGTCTCACATATACTATGAACTGTGTAACCCGTAAATCTATAGGATGGAACCATGTCACGTTTCGTGTAACTGTGTAATTTAACTCCAGTAACCCTATAAGAAGTACCAGTTTGAAGCTCGGTGTTTGTGACCCGCAGGATCCGGCTCTGGCGGACGGTCCTCGCGGTAGAAGCCTCGGATTGCATGACATATTTATAGTACTACTCGCGTGTCCTGTGTTGCTGCTGCTGCTGTTGTTGTTGTTGTTTTGTTTTCTTTTGTATTATTATTTTTTTAATCACGTGTTCATTCCTTGAGCATAATGAAGATATATATGAACATGTAAAGTCGAATTTAAGTGCGAAGGACCGGAGCGGAGCGACGCAGGTTTTGTAGCTGACAAACGTTTGTGTTGCACACGCTGCTATTTTGTTTCGATTTGCCATAAACTTGCACGATCATGAGAAAGACGACCGACTTTGTGTGTGTGTGTGTGTGTGTGTGTGTCTAGTGTTTCGACAATCCAATCGCTTTTCTGTAAGTAGATTAAGAGGCAGCGAGGATTAGCCTGCATGGGGATGAGCCTTCGCTTTACCCGCACGACACCGTACCGGGGACGGTCCTCACCTGATGACCTTAAACCGAGTGAAGTCACTCATTTAGGTTAGTGCTAGAAAACGGAAACCTACGCCGGTAAAACAGAAGATGGCTTAATTGGGTTTCTCACTCCGCCTGTCCCTCATATTCGGTGAGGTGTGCATGACAAAAAATGCACTTGATGTCCACTTTTTAAAATAAACTTAAGGTAAGTTGTATTATGGTCGTATATAATTTGCAAAACAGATTTTTGTTCGCCTTGGATTAAAAGAAGCAACAAACTTGATCGCGATGAAGAAGATGAAGTCTGTCTCTGAGCACCAAGTGCCGAACCCTACAGCCACTCTGATCCGGATTCATTCGCTGTTTTGCGCCCCCTAATGGCGAGAAATGGCGTTCGTAATTAGGTCAGGTAAACGTTTAGCAGAATCAACTTTTTGCGGTTGTAGTCTTAGTATGTAGAATTAAACATAAGCTTATCTGGACGTGTTCCTTCAACCGGTCATAGACAGCTGACACCATGAGCCAACGTTTCTGCAGCATGGCTGCAGAAATGCGATACGAATTGCAGTGTACGTGTCGCCAGTTCGCTGCACTGTGCCGACTTTCCTGCGGGTCCTTCTTCAGATTGGCTTTGTCCGTGATGAAGCAGCGTTTTGGATATTGGAGCCCCAGAAAGTGGCACTGAACCGTGACCCTACCTGGGGCTGGTATTTAAGATAGTCTGGGCTAAATGTAAATGAACAAAGATTAAGTCCAAGTTTAGATTAAAGATTAAGTCCAAGTTTAACTGGTGTATTTAAATCCGACAAGTTATCCGGCTTGGTGATACAGGCCCTTGCTGACAGCATAAAGCACACGATGATCGCTGATGATGTAGTTTTACTATAAAAAGTGCATGCTTTGATACCCTAATACGTAGATGCACTTTGCCTTGTATTTGTGTTTACATTCGGATTTTAATAAAATGTATGTTTTAAGGTGCATGTCTCCAAAAAGATCACTTTGTGCACTTTACTCAATTGACTCATTTTCATAACACAGTCTGAATTTAGAGCATTATTTAGACACCTGATTAATTTAGACAGTTGTGACTCGGAATTACGGTAATGGAGTGTATATTTATAATGGGTATATTTGATAGGATTTAGCGCAGGTGGGAAACATTAGCCTACTTCCAGGTTCTATTTAATTTCTAAGCCGCCTTAAGGAACTGGCAGTCAGGTGAGTCCAAATAACGACTGTTCAGGACCCTTGAACTGCTGGTGACCCAAAGCTGCATAATGCGATCTGCGGTCCATTTGAGGTGTGGAGACATTTCAGTGGATCGCAGTTCTGGATTTGGCCACTAGGTGGCAGGATCGCATTACGTGAGAACCGTTTAACGGCACAGACGTTTTTTGCAACGCGTTGTCTTTAAATTTTGTTTTAAATGTATAATGTGGTCAGCCCCTTTAAAGCTTGAGCGGCCATAGTATTTTTTTCTCACAGAAATGAAGACTTTAAATTGTAAGTATATTGTAAGCATTTTAACTATTTTCCCAGCTTTGAATACTACGCTGTTCTGGACAGATAAGTGCTTTTTATTCTGCTAAACTGAATCCTTATAACTGGATGGACCTTTGCATACTGGTGGCAAAATACACATTTTCTACCCTGCATGTGTGATAAGTCAGGCATTTTCACCACATTAAATCACACTTCATATCCCGACTCTAACAGACAGCATGTTCTGTAGATCAGCCACACTATCGTGCACAGTATCTCTGAAGTGGAACTCTGTTAGTCACCATGTATTTCTATGCTTGATCGTTACATGGCCCTTTTTCCCTCCTAAGGGGCCCACAGAGGGGGCTGTTAGTGTCGGGTATGTGGGAGGCTGTTTGATATGTGTCTGCACCGAATTCTGCCTTAATTACAGCTTCTGCATTCCAGTTTTGGCTCCAGCCCACCTCTCCTCCTCCTCCTCCTCCTCCTGGGGGGGGCAATTTGTATTGATAAAGAAATTCCGTAGGTGTGAGCTTGCTGTGACTTTTTATCGTTACTTTTAAATATTATTGGAAGGCAGGGACTTGGTGCTCAGCAAAATGCCCTTAGTATCGTGCCAAGTTCTGGGTCTGTGACATCAGTGCTCTCTGTGAAAGTCACACCCCTAATCCCGGATGTGACACTGCCGCTGCCACACACAGTATTCCCCCCCTCCCCATGAAACTCTGGGGGGGGGGGGGTCAGTAAGCAGCTGTCTGATAGGGTTTTACTTGGGCTGTTCCCTACATCTGTAAAGTACTATCAGACCCTAACCATGTTTTAGTTGCATCAAGAAAAATGTCAGAAGGGTGAAAACTAGCCGCAGACATTCAGCTGTGGACGGTAAAGCCCCGCCGCCCCTCACCTCTTCCTGCTAATCCTGCGTTGCTCCTTGCATATCTAATGCTGCATACTTCTCTCCCTGTCTCTCTCATTTCCTCTCCCTTATCCCCTCTGTCCATTGCATCCATTCTCTCTCTCTCTCTCTCTCTCTCTCCCTCTCCCTCCTAGCTCAGGGATCTGCCTCTGACAGCCGCCGTGATGATATCGGCTTTCCGCTCCTCACACAATGAGGCTGATGACAGCAGGAGGCGCTGCATTGTGGAGGAAAGCACTTAATACAGTTACCTGGAGACAGGACTAGATCAATTACAAACAGTTAATATATAATATGTATCCTCAGTCACTGATAAAAATTATTCATTTTAGATGCATAAAAAAAGTTCATTTTTGCTTCCTTTGATATACTAGCTTTGTACTGTGACAACAGTTACCCTTGAATCTCAAATTTCCTATTTTTAAATTACATGAACCCCAACAATGTCAGATTATTATGACTGGTTGTCAGAAATGCTTTAGCGTGAAGGAGAACCACATAGAGAGATGTGTGGCTGCGGGCGGAGGCTGGAGAGCGGCTGCGGGCGGGGCTGGAGAGTGGGTGGGGCTACAGAGTGGCTGCGGGTGGGGCTACAGAGTGGCTGCGGGCGGAGGCTGGAGAGCGGCTGCGGGCGGAGGCTGGAGAGCGGCTGTGGGCGGGGCTGGAGAGTGGCTGCGGGTGGGGCTACAGAGTGGCTGTGGGCGGGACTGGAGATTGGCTGGGGGCAGAGGCTGAAGAGTGGCTGTGGGCGGGACTGGAGAGTGGCTGTGGGCGGGGCTGGAGAGTAGCTATGGGCGGGACTACAGAGCGGCTGTGGGCAGAGGCTGGAGAGTGGCTGTGGGCGGAGGCTGGAGAGTAGCTCTGGGTGGACTTTATGAAGAATTTCAAGAGGGTCGTGATACACAATGATGAACAAAGCTTCACCAGGCCCTCTCAGTAGGCGGTGTCGTGGCTTTAGTGCCTGAAGGACCCAGATTCAACTCCAGGGGGCAATGTTCTGTTTTTAAGATTTAACCCGAATTGCATCAATAAAATGATGGTGATGGCTATGTCTGTAGCTTATTGTACAGCTCCAGCTAAGCTCCAATGCTAACTTGAACGTGTTACCAGTCATTCTGTGGAAGGTCAGCCTAGCTGGCTCCTTAATGGATGTATACTTGCAATGTGGTATCTGCCTTGCTTTAGAAAAAAGTAAAAAAAAAATGGTAAATGTAAATGCAGTGGACAGACAGACCAACAGACAGTGAGATAGATGGATGGATGGATGGATGGATGGATGGATAGATAGATAGATAGGTTTACATTAGCACTACAGCACACACATTTAGACAGTTATAAACAAACAGTAACAGTGCCGAGAATTATAGCATGGAATTCATTAGGCACAGAGACTGGAAGATGAAACTTCATTATCATCGTTAGGACAGTCTGTGCTGGATGGACAGAGTGAACATCCCCCTCCTCCAGAACATCCACACCTTGCCCCCGTCTCACATATCAATAAAGAGCACATGGACAGAATGTGAAAACGTTTATGTAAGATGGGAGACATGGATGTTCTAATATATGATTCAGGACACTTTTTTCACATGTCTAAGCCTGCAATCGCTCAGCCACAATCTGATTTTGTACCCCCCCCCCCCCCCCCCCAAAAAACTGCTATCCTTCATTTTCATTCTTTTCACCTGTTATTCACTTCTCCATAGTCATCCCCAGGGGTACCGGGGGGCAATTCCAATTCCAAGGACAATTCCAAGGGCCCCCAACTGACAGGGGCCCTAATAATTTGGAAAATAATTGGATTGGTCTGGACTAGGGAGCCCAATATGATATGCTTTCATGGGGCCCAAAATCTCTATTGCAAATCTCTGGTCATCCCTAAACAAAATGCCCCCCCCCCACACAACTGCCTGTGTCACGTTGTTCTGTTTGGCCGTCCCAATGAAAACAAACCTTTCACTTGATGGATAATCGCTGTTACACTTTAGGCAAAGTTGTAATCAAGATCTAGCTGGCGGACCCGAACTTATTTTGTTATGGGGGGAAAAACCTGTTCGGAATCTTCTATGGCATGATTTTCCAAAAGCGCGCCGTTAAGACCATCTTAGAGAAGCAGAAAAATTTAATGTAAATGAATGTAAATTTAAAGTAAATGAATTTCCCACTGAACTTAACCGGAGCATTTGAAGTAGCTCTGCCTCCGCCAAACCCACGTAATTGATGTTATCGTGACTTGTTGGTGTGACGTGACTGCGGAGCTGCGAGGAGCTCACTGTATTTCGCTTTCCCTTATATTGAATTGCGCTGTGAGCACGCCATCTAGTCCCTTATGTGTAAAATACATTGCATATTTCGCTGGGTGGTATCTCAGCTCGCATTCCCCCCCCCCCTCTCTCTCTCTCTCTCTCTCCCTCTGCCCGCCCCTCCGATAATCTCTTACGGTAACTACAGAGACGCGCTCTGCCGTAC